CCCTCCGTTATAATATCAATAGTTCTGGTTCCGATTAATTCGAAATAAAATTTATTTTTTTAAAAAATTTGAATAAATGTCTAAAATTATGTGCCCATTTATTATACCTGTTATCTAGTGTTTAATAGGCAAATCTTGACTGAGTAATGCAATTACACTGATCCATTAATGCAATTAGTGGACCTAGGCCTGGGTTTAAATACCTCTTGGGATGGGGAGGAGGCATGGCCAGGAGCGATCTGCTGCAACAACGAGTAATTTTTTAAAAATATCCAGCCCAACTTTCCGTCTTCAATTTTTCTTCAATTTCTAATTATGTTTTAACGCATTTAATCACAAATCTGTTTGATTATTGATAAAATATAGTTAGGTTGTTCTGTTAATACTGAAAATAGTACGTCAGATGTTTATATGGAAGACGATAGTGCGCTTCGGAAAGTCACAAACGGGATAACAACGCATAAGATCTTACCATGTAAACATTATAGAGAGACAATGGTTGCATTGTGGCCCAGTGTCTAGGAGGCCGACACTGAACTCCATGGTGTTGGGTTCGAATCTGCTCAAAGGAGTCTTTGTTTTAACCGAAAATTTTCTAGAGCAAGGAATTAAGCAGCTGAGAAACGGGTGGCAAGTCGTTTAATTGCGAAAAGTAGAGACAGCATGATATTCTGGTGTGGTCATGTCAGAAAGGACGAGGTGTGCGGCAATGCTATTTCATGTGAGCGCCACTTGCGACAACACTTCACAATGACCCACGTGATAGCTGGCTATCCTGTGTCGATCAACTGAAGGTGTTATTCGCTTTCGATTTCGAATGATGCTTCGGACCGAACTCGGTTCGTCTTCAGAGTAACAATGAATTTTACAACGTGTCGTTTTCATACGAATGGAGTTCACCCGCATTATCGATAATGTCGTGTTTGACATTGGTCCTAAGGGACGACCGTTTAACGCATTTGGTGAATGTGTCGCTGAAATCTTTGCTCTCTGCATAAATCGGGGGAGGGGTGGGACAAAACATCTATGGAACATATTAACAGTCTTTTCTCATGCGTCGTTATGGAAAAGAAGGAGAATGGCAGTTTCTGAAAGTGCTAAGTAAAATGCCCAGCAACAGGGATATTCGACAATAGTCTATCGCAAAAAAACATACGACTTGATTTCTGAATTATTCTTCTTACCACTCAGAACGACCAGAGAAGACTGTTGCCAATATCATTCTCTAAAGGGAATTTGAAAATAATTCTGCTATAGTACGTGCCGTAAACCATCAGAAGACTGTTATCTCGAGAGAAGATGAATTGCGTCGAATGGGCAAACAACATCACACCCTGCTGCAGATCTCAGTGAAACATGGACGAAAAACAAAAAATGGGTGCGCCATTAATATATGCGGCGAACTCCACCCGCATGAATAGGATATCGCACAGATCTCACCGCTATTCTGAAGGAGGAATGAGTTTGGTCCGAAACGTCAGCCTCCCTAGAGAATATTTATAATGAAAGACACTGTGTTGTTATCCCGCTTGTAACTTCTAAATACCTATTCTTGTCATTCTAATTAATGTTGCTATTATTATTCAATTCGATAAGTTATTCATGATGCATAGTCGGCATATAATCATTAAGAACGTACCGGTGTATCGTTTGCAGAACTCGTCGCACAGCGACTTGACTCGTTTCAGCTCGACAAGATGAGCGGTTAAGACACAAATGCCGTCGAAAATCTGCAAATGTATTAAAGTTACGAGAGTTACTTCGAAAAAAAACAACGGTATTTCACATAAATAAAAATTAATTAGTAATTACATATGGGATGAAACTATCATGGACAAATACTGCAAACAAATAAAAGTTTATGGTAAAGGTTTGTCTATTAGGAGAAAGGTACATGGAAGGACTGAGTCTCAATAAAAGCTGTAACTCATGCATTTAACTAAAATATTTCACATCAATTATATAAATAATCACAGTCCGACTTCAGCAGTGATAGACTGGTAAATAACGAGCAAAAGAAATAAAATCTACAGCAAAATCTACAAAAATAAATAGCCGTAACAATCGACCAAGGAATTCAATAGCATAGTCTTGCATGGCCCCCCCTCCTTGAATCGGGAACAGATCCCGCATCTACCAGTGGAAAACCATCGCGCAAGGAACAGAACT